TTAGAATGATTGATCATTGTTCTGGAAGGCTTTCCGTTTGGCTGCATGGTACCAATATTTCATAAGGTTAATTAAATTATGATTAAATATTACCTTATCCTTTTCAATTTTAGTATGGTGATCAAAAGTGCTTCACTTTCACAGTTTGGAAGGGTAAGGTGATATTTATTGACAGTTATAAAAATAAAAATAAAAGTAACTAATTTTATTTCACATAATTGAAAATTAGATTATTCAATCCACTATTGTTCTTATAATGGATTCCATTTTTCTTTTGTTGTAGAGATATTCGGTCGTGTCCAGTTGGACCCGTGGATCTTATGAGGAGTCTTACCTTAATAATCCAAGTTCTTCACTTTGTAGGCCTTGTAAATTATTTATTAATTATAACTACATTTTACTAGATTTGGCTTCTGGAAAAATAGACAAGTATTGTTTTAAAAATAGTTGTCAATTTTTTGAAGATAAATATGATAGAGTCATAAAATTACAATTATCGAATTAATTTAATTTTTTTCATGAATAATTTATACATAAGAGTTTATAAAATAAATAATTCACATCATAAAAATGAATGTGATAGAATTCATAGCTTTGTATGGAATGTTTTGAATGATATTTTTTTTTTCACTTTTATGCTTAATGCTTTTGTTTTTTTGTCTTCTTTTTTTTTTTAAATTTTATTATCGGTGCTTTTTCTCTCTATTATCACACATCACTATCAATTGTTGTTCACTGTTGCTGCCACCAGTCACTAGCAGCGGACAAACATGTGCACACCTGGACATTTCGGTAAGGATAATATATTTTCCAAATTGTGATCTTTTATATTTAAAAAAAAATAAAGTTTGGAACAATTGCCCTAAAAATTTCATAAAGAGCATGTGATGTAATGGTAGGGGTACAACTCAGGCAGATTCGATCAGGTTGGGAGATTATTCAAATTCAACTCAAGTTGTGTTAAGACCTCTTCAGGCCTGCCTAGGCCCAAATTGTAACCTGAAATTGCATGTCCAAACCCGACCTGGGTTAAACTCGAATTGCCCGAATTGTCTGAATTGTAAATAAATTTTAGTTTTTTTTTTTTTTTCAATTACATTATTAAATTATTAAAATTTGACTCCATGTATATTTTTTTTACATAGAAAATTATTAATACCATCAAAACAAATAATTTATATAATGTAAGAGAAATGCCACTATAATAGTCTTTACAATTTATGATTGAAAAATTAAAAAAAAAAGAAAATAAGATTTCATGTTATTTGTATATATAATATATATTCAATATGATTTAATAATTTAAATTACTTTAATATCGTGTAATAGTTAATAATTTATATGTATATTTAATATTTTTATATATTTATATATGTATAATTCAGATTTCCGGTTACTCAAGTTGTTTGACGTCTTTACCCAAGTCCGTTCAAATTTAATTCATGTTTTTAAATTTTTATCCAAATCCGTACTAAATTTGAAAATATCTTATCTAAGTTTTAAAAAAATTTAGACTAGATTCGAATTGCTTTGGTTGAGCTCGCCCAAATTATACCCCTATATAATGGTGAAGAAGAAGAAGCCAAGAGTAATTGAAGCAACGATGAAGCTTCATACATTTTCATACAAATACAAGAAGAATAGGCTAGTGTAGGCCTAATATTTGGACTTCATCTTAACTACAAAGAGGTGGCCAACTGTGAAATCTATGACTGGTTAGAAATTAGTAGCAGAACAGTACCCATTATACGCTTTGATTTGGGACCATTTTACAAGTTTTAGTTACCAATTTCCAGGAAGTTTCTCAAGGCACTGTTTAACTATTATTGTCGCAGGAGTTACATCCTGTGTCATCTACATCTATATCTATATCTATATGTATTTATATATATATATATATACATTTGGCGACACTATTTATTAACTTATTTAAATTATATCATTTTTTTACTTTTTTACACATCTTTTTGTAATAAACAAAAAAATCAATTTATACGTCATATCTAAAACAATCCATATATACGAATGTTAGAATTGATGTTGGCGTCTCATTTTTTTTAATTTTTTCAAAATATTAGAGCATATTCAATGACAAATATTATAACAACATTGCCATCACTTTTAATTGTTGTATAAAATCAACACTCAAGTTAATCTAACCATACAATTACACAATCATGAACCTATGAATCTTGTAACCATACTTCCGTGGTTATGCACACCTTCTAATATATATAGATATGACTTGACTTTTGTGCAGTTCTGTTAAGTTTTTTATAAATGATATATGACCTGAGTTATTTATTTTGTAGGCTCTTAGGGGTAAATTATCCATAGAAAAATCAAATTGATACGACAATTATAGTAACATAATTTTATCAAATTTATCTTTAAAAAAATATACAAGTATAATTTTGAAAATAATATAATAAAACAAATCTAATAAAATTAATTTAACTTTTTTACAAATCAACCATTCAAATCATTAAAGTAAAAGTGAGACACAAATTTATTTCTCAACCCAACTAAAGAAAAGCTGAATATATATATATATTATAACATTTTTAAAAAATTATAAATAAATAAAAAAAAAAAGAAGCAAATTTTGGATGCATCAATAAAGACAGTGCAAGGAACCTGCCTAGTGATTTATGACCAGTAGGCAGTACTCACAGATTTAGAATTATGATAATCCAGGATGTCCTCTCTAACCATAACACTATTTTTCTTTCTTAATATCCAAGGCTAAGTTTGATAAATTAAAAAATAATAATATTTTTTTCTGTACAACACGTATTAGTATGGTAATTAATTTTGTAACTTTCATGCAGAAAAACACCAAAAATAAAAATATAGATAATTAAATTGGTCTATATACAAGGGTTACTTACAATTAAATTTTCAAAATTCTCTTATTTTCTAGCAAAGTTTCATTCTAATCAAACGCTTGCAAAATACATATATATATATATATATATTCTTTATCAATTCTTATCATTCACTTCACTTACTATTTTTTTTTTTTTTTCTCCTAATCAAACAAAGCCTAAAAGGGAAAACAAAATTGCAGAGCTGTGCAAGAAGATTTTCACACAACAAACACAAATAAATAGGATTAGATTTATACACAACGGACCACATGACCTCTCTCTTTGTATCTGTTTCGTAATCCGTTCTCTGTAACCTAAACTTCTAATAATAATAAACAGATCCAAGGTCAGTTCACTATAAAACTTGAGGCTTCTTTACCAAGTTTACTCCATTAAAAATCAAATAAAAAATAAATTGTATCCTCTCTCTCCACTTGCATGCTAGTGAAAGAAGGATATAAAAGAGGAAGGACACGAAACCGACATATACTGAAAGAGAAAACATACATACACATAAAAGTAGAGCTCTCACTATCTAAAAGTCATCAAGAAATACATACATGTATATGGCTTCAACAAAGATGAACCAGAGAGCCAAGGCTGTGGCAGCAACAGTGGCAGCATGGGTGGTTTGTTGGTGCCTCTTCACAGTGAGTGACGTAGGTAATGCAGAGAGACTCCTCAAATCATCAACGGATCATCGGCCTCAGCATTTCTCTGAGGAAGAAATGAGAAGCGGATTTGGGCTCAGGCTGATTCATTTCTTCTGGCAGAATGCAAAATCTTCTTATGAACATGTTTGGCCGGTTAGCTATATACTCTTTATCCCCCCGTCTACTCTACAAGATTTTCATTCTAATCAATGAAAACAGCTCTAAATAATTGCACTTTCATGGAGGTGAAACTGTAAGTTGTGGCATGAGACAACTCTCATTTGCTCCGAATTGCATCTCCATGAAAGTGAAATTACTTTGAGTCGTTCGCACTTACTTTGATTATGTATATATAATATAGTGTTGGTATGATATTTTAGTATATGAATTCTTTTTGTTGAGCAGGAGATGGAGTTTGGCTGGAGACTAGTGGTAGGATCGGTGGTTGGATTCTTAGGTGCAGCTTTGGGGAGTGTTGGTGGCGTTGGAGGTGGTGGAATTTTTGTTCCAATGCTTTCTTTGATCATTGGCTTTGACCCCAAGTCTTCCACAGCCATTTCGAAATGTCTGTAACTGCTAAATTTGGTTGAAAATCTAGAAAGAATGCTAAACCACAAAATAAATTACTAAAAAATATATAATTGCACGACTTGAACATCCCTATACATTTTGAACTACTTTGTGAGTTTTTCAACTACTTTTTAACTCAGCTATATATATACACACACATGTATGCACACATGTATTATTCACATTTTCTGTAAATAAGGGTTAGCATGAATAAAAATACATTCATCTATATATGGTGTCTGTTAAAAAAAAATGTAGCCCAATCAGTCTGGTTGGTTTCGTTTGTAAAACTAGTTTGGTTAAATTAAAAAAATAATGAAAATTTCAATAACACTCGTCATTTTCATGTTGTTTTCTTTCAGTGCAAAAACAGTTTTCAAAAATTCAAAAACATCTTTTTGGTGTTTATTTTCACCAAACTAGTCAGTATTTTTCATAAAACATTTTCTGAAAACGAAATTACACACAGCTGGATTACTTCTTCTGGCTCTGTAGCATTGTATTTCATAAAGCTAGGATGAAGTCCAATATAGAATATATTAACTTTTATTTTTGTGGAGGCATTTAATTTTATGACACGTGATTCCTAAAATTCAATCTAAACAGTTCGCGAATACTTTTGGATCACAGGTATGATCATGGGTGCAGCAGGATCAACAGTGTACTACAATCTGAGACTTAGACACCCAACACTAGACATGCCCCTCATAGATTATGACCTAGCAATGCTCTTTCAACCCATGCTCATGCTGGGTATCAGCATTGGAGTTGCCTTCAATGTTATATTTGCTGATTGGATGGTCACTGTTCTGCTCATCATCCTTTTCATAGGTACAAATTACTATATTATATCAAACTGTCAACCTCTTTACATGTTTGTCCAATGATTAATGAAACTATATGAAAGTAAGATCACCATGTTTATGCACTTTCTATCTCTAAATGTGTCATTCTTCTCCTTCAAACTCAAAGGGAGAGAGACGTCATTTATTGGGCAACCTTGTGTTTTCAGATTCCATAAACATAAATGATTTTTCAGATTCCACTTATTCAGAAATCTTTGGTCCTATTTGATTGTGTTTTCATTTTCTATTCTTATATTTACAGGAAAAAAAAATAAAAAATTTGTTTGGAAAACCCTTTCGTAAACTGTTTTCAGAGAGAGAAAAAAGAAAGACGACAAACCATTTTTAGGAAAAACCAAAAAAAAGTATGCAAATTTGTCACACAAAAATGAAAAAGACCTATTTTTTTCAAATTTGTTTATCGTTTTTGTTTCCGAAAATATCAAAAACAAAACTATACCCCACCACTTACTTGAACAGTGCGATTGACTGGGAATGGGACGAGTATTAGGGGGTTTGTTTTTATTTTATGAGTGTTGAACCTCACTTTTTTAATGGCAATGGTCCAACCAGCCTATACAACGATACAAAGAACCTCCCTTTCTAGATACAAGCAAAAAATATTGCTAGTAATCAAACAACTTCCAAGCAATGGGTTAGTCTAACATTTTATTTTGTTTTTTTGAATCTCTTTGCAATATTCTATTTAGCCTGATATCTTAACAAAGATTCAAAACCACTTCCAACTTACAATGTCATTAGAATTTCTTTCGATCAGAGTAGCTAATGAACTGAAATCTAATTGTGGTAGGTACATCAACTAAAGCATTATTCAAAGGCATAGAGACATGGAACAAAGAGACAATGAACAAGGTAAGGTTTTGACTTACTTGTTTGCGCACCCTCAACAGTTTTATTTCCTTCATCGCATTTTCATGAATAGGGAGTTTGAGATTGAACTTCACTTTCAGGAAGCAGCCAAGCAGTTGGAATCGGAATCCAAACAAGTTGGTGAGTATTTGATGGTCCCCTCCTTGATAATCATGTCAACATTAAAATTAAGTTCATACGCATATACCAGTGACAATGGACTTGGAAGAACTAATTGCAAATAATAGAATTTCCAAGGATATGACAAAGGTGTTGTGTTTATGTTACCATTTAAAATTTCTTAATGACATAAAGCTTACAGTACAAATGCTCAATTAAATAATTTAACCTTCTCATAACCTTGAGGGGGAGAAGAAGAAGAATCATAAACAAAATCCTATCCAAGATCCAAAAATATATTAGGATTTGTGTGTTCCCAGTTTGATAAACAAAGCACGACCAAGGATCCTATGTCCTAAATTACACACTGAAACATAGGATCATGTGTGAATCTCGAGGTGTGATCTTATGATTGGGAGTTCATTGGGATAATGAGACAGGAATTTGGGAATAGAGGATCCCGTGCCACAATGCACATTGGAACCTGCTCACTCACAAACTTCCACCAGACAATGAAATCCAACAACTAGGCAACTTAAGCAACCCAGTCCAGAAATAAGTTTCAATTGTATAAATGTTTCAGCTCTCAACATATGAAATTTACTTACCTCTACTACCCCCATACTTCTGTTTGTTGTTTCATGTGAAGTAAGGAAATTAGTTGGAGTAAAATAATCAATTCATCAGTAGTATGGGGCTACAGGTGTTCCATTACAAGACCAACAATCTTGCAACAGAACAGATATTGCAGCAAGGCAATATACCCAAAGAAACATTCCATTCCTAAAAAGAATTTGATGATCAAAAAAGGATTATGCTAACCTCTTGAATTGCAGATGACTCTGGAGAGGAATACAAACCACTACCCAGTGGTCCAGCTGCTTCAGCAGATGAGGCAAGTCCATGAATGTTTTAACAGTTTTTGCAGTTATTCTCTTTCAAGAATCATTCATTACAATTTTTCCCGTCTTCTTGTTTGAATCATCATAATCTCCATTCAGGTTTCCCTGCTATACAACATTCAATGGAAAGAGTTAGGACTACTAGTGTTCGTTTGGGTAGCTTTCCTCGCAGTTCAGATCATGAAGGTAAGCAAAGAAGCTCCGTAGCATTGAGTAGCACAAGAAAGTCTACCTTTTTTAAAATTGAAGTCATCATGATTTTTACTTTTTTAATTTTTTTTCTTCGTTTCTTTTGGTAGGCTTTGTTATCTATAGTAGCTTGATCTCTTAACTAACCACAATATTTATCTGAATCTCTTTGCAGACATATACAGTAACCTGCTCTGTCAAATACTGGATCATGAACGCCTCACAGGTAAACTCGCCTATGTGAATCAGTCACATTTCTTTCAGGATATCAACAGCACGCATGCACATGTGTGTGCACACTTGCTCGTACAGACACACATATACAGAGTTGGGAGTTGGGAGTTTGGAGTCAGATATTTTCTATCTCAAATAAATTGGCACATAAAGAGCCTATTACCAATCAAAAGACTACCTACAATACAAGAAAAACACTGCTAGGTACCCAGAAAAAATACCCAGAATTTGAAACAGTAGAAATACAGAGGTAACTTAATGTGAGCACCCAATTTCCCACTTCTGACACTTTGGGAGCAGTGAGCAGAAAATTAGCATCATGACATCAATAAAATATCTTTGATCATCTTTCACTTGAAAAGCCATCTTCAAGTTCTGAAGACATTCTAAATACAGACTGAGCAAGCTTTAAAGATCATATATCAAATCATCTAAATGTTCAAATCTGTACAAACTAATAGTTCCATACTTTATAGGTACCAATTGCTGTCTCTGTTACGCTTTATGAAGCCATAAGCTTATACAAAGGCACCAGGGTAATTGCATCCAAGGGAAAGGAAATCACAAATTGGAAGGCACACATGCTTTTTCTTTACAGTTGCGTCGGAATTATAGCTGGCATGGTGGGTGGATTGCTTGGGCTTGGAGGAGGCTTCATCTTGGGGCCTCTTTTCCTAGAATTGGGAATTCCTCCTCAGGTATGTCTTATTACTCACTCGTCCATATGATACAATAAAGCATTTCCAAAAAGCATTGGGATGCAAGAGAAATTGTTAAATGCAGATCCTCCAAACCTAAGTTACATGGACTCAGGTACGGGCATGTGTCCAAGGGTCAGACTTTCATAAACCTTAGGATATTGGGATATGTATACAAAAGTTGGGTACGGGAATGTCTCATGGACACATATAATACATATTGTATAACATTTTTTTAGATAAGATGCAAATTAATTGTACTAGAATTTAGTGAAAATATAGAATTTTTATCTCTCATCCATGTGAAGGTAGAAATGATTCTTCATTACCAAATGTGAGTTTCTTTTTCTTCAGACATCGTAAAAGTTAGAGGATCCATGTGTCTAAATCGGGTACGGGTGTTGGACACATATCCCACACTCTTACCCTTGTCATCTCCAAATTCCAAACATTAGACAAGACATAGTTGTAAATGAAAAGTTAGTAATCAGTCTCCCTTGTTCGTCAGAGTTTCTCACCAAGGAAATTCTCCAATGTTAAACTCCATTACCCAGACCAATCAAACTATTTTTGTAAACATTGGTAGATTCCTATGTCATAAATTGAAGATTAAAATAGGTTGAGTTTGGGTCAACAACCTGAATTCCCAGTTTGCAGAGTAAGTGTCCACTCAAAAATGACGCTATGCAGAAAAAAGCAAATTAGATCATCCATACCTTGCCAATGACCAGGATTGTTGGATCAGCCGCCAGTGCTCAACCTGGCATCACATTAATCACTGATACTTAACTAACTGCAACTCAAATCAGTAGCCAAACAGAATTAAAATGCCCAGTCACGTGATTGAAAATTTGACACCATTAGTATCAGTAGTAATCAGGCAATCAATCTACCAACCCTGAATATATTCTCAACATATGTAGTTAACAAATAATGTAAATTTTATTTTGACAAAGTTGTTCCCTTTTACCAGGTAGCAAGTGCAACATCAACATTTGCGATGGTTTTCTCGTCTTCCATGTCAGTTGTACAATATTACCTTCTGAAACGTTTCCCAGTCCCATATGGTAAGTGGAAACAACAGATAAGATTAAACAATAATATTGAAAATCAGTCCTTACTTTACTGATACCAGGGGTTTTGGAATTAGAGCCATTACCAATTTTAGCTGTTGCACAACTCAATGTGATGATCGATTCCAATAACTACCTCAAGATAACCTCATAGTTTCTAATTTTCTATATTACAATCTGTGGCAGCTGCTTATTTTGTTTTAGTTGCTACAATTTCCGCCTTTGTTGGTCAGCATGTAGTGAGGAGGGTTATAGCAATACTTGGAAGGGCATCCATAATCATCTTCATACTGGCTCTGACAATCTTTGTGAGCGCGATCAGTTTAGGTACAGGGCTTTCTTGATTTATGTTAATTAAATGCAAGGTCTTATAAGCAAGGTGCTCAATATTTTCGAATGCAAGTAGGTGCTCACTTTTTAATTCTGAATTTCAGGTGGGGTGGGAATAGCAAATATGATAGAGAAACTGGAGAATCATGAATATATGGGGTTCGAAAATCTCTGTAACCATTCTTAACTATGCTTGGCACTACCATGACTGGAAGTTCTCGGTTGAGAATAACTATATCTACACTGCATTTCTTTTTACATAGTCAAGTATTTGCCCATTTGTTTAAGCAAAGATTGCAATTTTTTAATGTTTATGGTTGTCCAATTCATTGTACCCGTGTCTGCTAAAACATCCATAGCAGCGCTCCATTATATTTTGGTGAATCTCATTGGTTACGTGAGAAATTTGGCAATGAGTTTTGTTTTAAAGGTTATGTACCAAAAAGATTTGGTGCCATATTAGCATAGAATTCCAAGGCTTTACATTTCTTTTATATAGTTCTTCTTCGCTACTTACACCATATCATCACAAAGCACATAAGGCCACTGGGCACTAGCCATGTGACGGCCGAAAATAATGTACTCAGTGCCTTAGCCTCAAGCCAAGGCAATCTTCAAGAATCCTCCTACATGTGTTCGGCCTCCTCCTCACAATCAAGCAAACTCACACTCGCACCAATATATTCAGACATCCCTCAGCGCTCGATCGTTTTGGTGGTACTCTGATGATTTGCACTTGGTTATCCAATAGCACCCCAATGCTCTCATGCCATTCTAGGTCAAAATCAAAGCTAGGGACCCTCGGAGTAGGTGTTGCAGTCATGGGAGACCCGACTAACCATGACCCTCAAACGAAATCTAGAGGCCATGTAGCTTGGTGGCTATAATTGAGGGTTCATTTAGGTGATTGTTTTATGGTCACATGAGAAGACTTACACCTTGGCCGGTCTGTGAGAGAGAGATCCCCACAATCCAAACAATAGCAAAGACATCCATACTCTATGCCTCAGTAGATATCAATGCCACTACCTCGTACAGCCGCTATACTAATGTGATGTCAGAACCAACAACTTGTCCGTTGTACCCATGCTTGTTAAAGGCTCATGTTTTTCTGGAGTGTTCTTAAAGTTGCTTAGAGAATAAATGACCTCTAACATTTGATATGATTTCATCATAATAACCCTTTTAGGTCTTTACTTATTTCCAAATTGTCTACAGTTTATCTCCTTCTTGGTAGCATACAGGGTAGAGGTGAAAGCGAGTTTCCTAATCAACACAGCAAGAGACTGTCCCCTTAAATGTTTTTAACAGGAAAGTAACAAACTAACTCCAACTCATGCGTGACCACTGAAAACTGCACATTTGCCAAATAGCTCCCCAAACTCTATTCGAAAAGTTAGTACCATTGGTCACTGAGGTTTGATTGCACACATCCTTCGTAATTACCCTACATACCTTGAAGGGTTAGCCAGCCAGCACATCTGAGGTAGAGGAGTTACGAGGGGCTGCAACTCCCCATGAACATGGACCAAAGTCATTACTGTATATCAAGAAAGGCATTTTTGGCACATCAATTCATTTTTTGTCTTATTTTTTTGGGGCAAAATCTTTGCTACCCATTGGTTAGAGAAATATCCCTTTTTTATTCTCCGACAGATTTGGAAACAAGTTTGCAAACCACAAAACTTGCTTTGGTTGGGTCTCTTCATGATTTATTTTCTTGCTACGGTTAAATTTAGGGGCTTGCTCTCTTTCCTGGTATCTGGTAACAAACAAATGAAAATTTGAGAAACAGCAAGGCAGCTTTCCCAATTAAAGAGACAAATGATATGAGTCATATAGATTATGAATCTTGATACAAGAAACACTCAAAGGGCAGGGCTAGGAAAACTGCAACAAAGGGCACAGGAAACTCCACCATCAAAAGTCACTTAGCCACCAAGATTTCTCCAACCAATCCATTTTGGTTATCCTTCCTTAGGATGGGTTTGGATTATGAATTTAGGTAAGAATTTGAAAAGCAAAAAAGAAAGGGAAAGGAAAAAGAAAAAAGTATGTGAAATATAAGCTAAATTTTTTCTTCATTTTCCTTTCAATTTCCAAATCCATAATCCAGACACAACACTAGTGAATCTGTCCCATCACCTATGATGTTAACTGGGAATGGAACTCATGCTTATAGGCTCACTCTGACAGTGCTCAAACTATCCCAACCCAACCCCACTCAGGTAATCCAAGTTATTTGATCAACAAAATGCATGGAAACACCCTCCTTCCCCACATTCCTTGAGGCTGTGTTTGCATCATAGATTTGGATAAAAATTTGAAAAGGAAAAGTAAAACATGCGTGAAATGTCACATTTCATCATTTTTTTCCAACACTTTTCAAATCGCTACCTAAATCCATAAACCAAACCCACATCTTAAAACACATGATTTATACAAATAAAATAAATTTTAAAAAAAAAATTAAAAACTGAACTTTAAAAAGAATTTTGCTGCTTGCTCTACCATTGAATAGAAAAAGAATAATTGGAGGCCCATAGTTTTATGTTGCCTTTATTCAATTCACACACACATTCACAGCGGCCACATTTTTTTCCCAATCACATCAAAATCTATTCACTATTTGTGTATATATAGCACAACTGAGCACACAAAGCGATCCAATCTAAACAAAATTTCATATCCGAAATTTCACTTACGTTTTACGTGATCGTGACCATTCGATACTCGACATCGATTGATCGAACTTTCGAAGACGAGTAGTTTCGATTTGAGCTTGACAAAGCCTCGAAATGCAGTAAAAATTGAAGCTTGGTTTGGTTAGTGAGCAGCATTGATGTCTAGGGTTTTATATGATCGGGATTCAGGTGCGATCTCTTGCTTGGTTAGGTTCGGGGTGTATGGTGTAAATGTAATGATGAGATTGTAAAGAATGACAGCTAAGTGTTTTAGTTGGGGATTGCAAGCAATTTTTCTATTACTGTAGTCGCGCCTCCATGATCATCATGTGATGTCTAGGCCTCTAAGCCGTTCGATACAAATGGATTTGCTCCTCAATTTTTATTTGTCTGATCATCGAGGCCATCCATCATCCCTCAACCCTCCATTTGCTTGGAGTACAATTTTAGGCCCCATTTGGAAGGGACGGTTGTTTTGATAACTTGTTTGGGGAATCTAAATATATTCTTAAAATTTTTATAAAGTTGTACGGGGAGGGAATATTCGATACCATTCATACTCTTTGCGTTCAAGCTGCGCCTTCTTCCGATTATCCTGCGAACACAACGAAGATGAGCTACCCGGTGGTGTGTTATCGGAAAACCCCTCCGACAATTAAGTTAGCATACACTCAGAGAGAGAGAGAAGAGAAGACAATATACAAGTGTTTCTCTCACCAGCAGATGTTTCATCCTCAACATGTAGACGTAGTCATGCTTATATACCTTCTGCGCGTACGTCTGCATCTATTCGCCTTCTGACACGTAGGCCTGCTCTCCCACGTGTCAACGCAAATTCAGCAAAACATCACCTAATCAAATCGCCAAATGGCGTTGGCGTGAACGGACAGCCTGACGGTGCTACCCCAGCCTTCTACGACTGTATTACTTTCCGAGACACACAATGCTCCTAGCTGAGCTCCCTTATGATCGAGCTTAGTAGCCCTCCCTTATGACCGAGCTCCTGCTAGGTTGGGTCGGTTCGCGGAGAATCTTACTAACCGACCTAAATAAGCAAACAATATGAGCCGGTCTGGCAGAAAATCATCTCAGTCAAATCGAGTCTGGACTTCAGCCGACAAACTTCCCCTGGAACGGCCAGCCCAGCTCGGCCCAAACATGCTCGGACCAATCTCTGCTCGGCCACTACCACAGCCCAAAGCCATATTATGAACTCTCCCTCTCAAAAATGATATAGAAAAATAGAAAGTTGATATGATTAAAATGCCAAATAGTGTATTTTAGTTGATCTTTTTGGACTAATAGAGAGAGTAGTTGACTAGTGACTTTTGAATTGTTTTAATTAAAATTCAAACTTGAAAGTCAAAATATAAAATAAAATTTAAAAAAAAAAATTTATGTCTTTCCATAAGACATAAATAATAAATAAAATAAAAACACTGAAAAATCAATTTTCAAACACTCCTTTAAGATTCGTTTAGAGATTAGTGACTATTTATTTTTTGTTAAAATATAAAGTGGAAAAAATTGAAATATTTAAAAATGATTTTTTATTTTTTATGAAAAAATGTGTAAAAAAATAAAAATGAATCTTTAAAATTTTTGTAAGACTTTTTCTTCTTTTTTTTAAAACTTTTTTGTTGTCTATTTTTTTTTTTTACTAATTAACTTATTATCAAATTATCCCTCAATTGAAATAAAAAGATGACATTAAAGTCTCGTTTGTCAATTATATATTTTAGTCAAAAAATTAAAAAGTTATTATAAGTTGTCATATCATTTTCTCTATTTTTTTACATATTTTTTTGTAAAATATAAAAAAATTACTAAAATAACATATTGTCAAACAAGACTTAAATAGGTGAATAAAATAATATTAATTTAATTGACCCAAAATATATGGCCTTTCTCTATTGTTTTTCTTTTCTTTTCTTTTTAAGCCTTTTTTTTTATCAGCTTTTCTTTTTAAGCCTTGACCAAACAGTTGATTTAAAACTACTTTTGGTACCTCATGAACAAAATTAATCTTAAAAGGTTTCGTTTGGAAAGTGAATTGACTTTTTAATTTTTAGATTTTTTTAGTCTAAGCTAAAAAATCTCGTTTGGATTTGACTTTTTAACTTTTTAACTTTTTTGAAAGAAAAAATGAAATGATTAAAGTTTAGATATGACATCTTATTTTATTAAGTTTTTAGTTTGTTTTGTCTTTTTTGTGACTATATTAACATTTTAACCCCACGCCAAATGAAGGCAAAGTAAGATATTTTAATTGAAGAGATTTAAAAATCATTTCTCTATTAAAAATAAATAAATTTAACAAAAAATTAATGATTTTGATCTCTTAATTTTAAATATATATATATATATATATATTTGTTTGCTTGATTAGAATTCCGAAATTTGAATGATTTTTTTTTTTTTCAACTATACATGCTAAATATATAACCAAAATAAATAAAATGGAAAATTGAAATTTCTATAAATGCAGCAAAGAAAAACTAAACGATGAAATTGTTTGGTTTGAGTTTTAGAAATGAGTTTTAGAAAAAAATTCTAAAAAATTGTTTGGTTTGAGGTTTTTTTCAAAAAATTTTTAAAATCACTTCTCTCTCTTACACATCAATCAATCACTTTTTCTCTCTTCTCTCTCCTTCTGAATCACTTGTTCTCTCACACACATCTATTCAATTCTTCCAAAATATCAAATCATCGTAAACTCCCACAAAAATATTTTCTCTCAAAATATACAACCAAACAAATCTAAAAAATTTCTAAAACAACTCTCCCAAATTTTTTTTAAAAACAACTCTCCCAAAAACAAACCAAACAAACTCAAAATGTTTTAAGGCAATATTATAGACCATCAACATGGATAGTCATGTTCGTTTTGGGAAGTGTGAAGAAAAAAAAATAGTGGATTGATTTTTTAAAATGTATAAGAGAGTATTGAGGTGATATAATCTAAATAAATTAATAAATTAATTTTTTTTTTAGAGAAGTAATGTTGTTAAGCAGGGAGGCAAGGGACCCTTCAATAAAGTAATTTGAGAACTTGATAAAAAGCCAATTTTTGGACTATTATCAAATTTTTTTATAAAAGTTAAAAAATTAAAAAGTCGATTTTTTATCAACTTCCTAAGTAGTAAATTGTACAAATAAAGCCTCAAATAAGAAAAAAAAAATGTTGTGTAAGATTAAAAGGCCTTTGGAAATAAATAAATAAATAAAATATGATCACTACTTACATTATATGTTTTTTTTCAGATAGTCTACTTACATTATATTTGATTTATTGGAATCACATTAAATGAAATGCTAATTGTCACGTTAGATTTATCAAAAAAATTATTTAAAAAAATTATTGCAAATAGATTTATTTTTTACCATCATAACAAACTGATTATTTCATTGCTTTAGATATTTTTCTGTGACACGTGTTTAGGGAATGTAATTTTGTTCCCCATGGTTTATGTGGAATAGCTTATATGAGGATGACGAATAACATGTTTGAATGGAAGAAGTCCATCTCCATCTTTACAGATGTTGCTTAGAGGCTTCTTTTGAGTTGTAATTACTTCTCCCATCTAAAAATAAAAAATAAAACAAAAATTATTTCATAATAATTATTCCAACTCACATTTATTTCATTTAACATGTAACTTGTAAGAGACAAGTAATAACATCTTTTCATTGGTGAACACATTTGTTCTCTCTAAGGATACCCATTTGTAACACTTAAAATGTTTGGCATTCAGCTAAAGATATGTATATATATATATTGTTTTTAGTTTTTTTTATTTATTTATTTAAATTATGTCATTTTTTTGGCTTTGTCTTCTATAGAAGATGTTAGTGTATATATAATAACATATATAGGTTGATTGATTGATTGATACACCTACCACGAATTAGATGATTTGATTGAAAGTGGTTGATTCATTCCACTTGCGGGTCACTTCAAGTTAGTTCGAATCAATGTCTTACAAGTGAGAAAGATAAGGAAGAGATGTTGAAAATTTCTTATGCTTCAGCAGTTGGCTTCTTGATGTACGCCATGGTTTGTACAAGGCTGAATATTGCTCACGCCGTTAGTGTGGTGAGTCAGTTTTTCTCTAATTCGGGTAAAGAATATTGGGCAGCGGTAAAATGGATTCTAAGGTATCTTCGAGGGATTTCGAAGGTATGTTTGTGTTTTGGGGATGGTAAGCCGATGCTTGATGGGTTCACAGATTCTGACATGGCTAGTGATGTTGATTCTAGGAAATCTACTTCGGGGAATTTGATGACTTTTGCAGGGGGAGCTGTGGCATGGCAATCTAAATTACAAAAATGTGTTGCTCTCTCAACTACCGAAACTGAATTTATTGCCATTACAGAATCTTGTAAAGAAGAGTTATGGTTGAAGAAATTTTTATAAGAGTTGGGTTTGAAGCAAGAAAAATATGTGCTTTATTGTGATAGTCAAAGTGCTATTCATTTGAGTAAAAATTTTACTTTTCATTTGAGATCAAAACACATTGATATAAGATACCATTAGATTCGTGATGTGTTAGACTCGAAATTGTTACAACTCGAAAAGGTTCACACAGACGATAATATTTCGGATATGTTGACAAAGACTCTGTCGCGAGACAAACATTTGAAATGTCGAACTTTGGCGGGTATGGTTGATGTCTCCACCTAAGTCGGTAGAGGGAGAATTATTGGGTATACCTCCTTATTAGAGTGTGGGACCCAATTGATTTGTTAAAAGAGTTTTAATTTGGTTTGGTTTAGTTATAATATATTTTAATATATTATATCTAATTTTGAGAGACCCAATTCAGTTGAAAACAACTAAGGTTTTGATAATAGACCTTAGATTTGCAATACATATTTTTGGTATTGTTTTCCAAGGAAAAAAAAAAAGATTGGTTTTACTTTTCCCGTGGGTGTGCTGTGCGGCTGCTACCACATTAAAAAACCAATTCGGTGGAGAAATTTGAGTTTGTGTGCTTCAGTTTCGGCTTCATAGTTGGATGTTTTGGTGGAGTTAATTTGGGTCTATTATTTTGGGTCTTCTACAATTTTATTTTGAAGATTTTGGTTCATCTATTTGGTAAGGTCTTTCCTCTTGTTTATTTGTGATTATTTGGAATTCACCTAATGGTGGTTTTGTGAGACCATTCGTGTCTCGTTTGTAATCGTTTGGAAACTTATTTGGTTGATAGTGGAATCAGCTTTTGATCCCGTGGACGTACCTTATATTGAGGGAACCACGTAAAAATTCTTGTGTTACTTTTGATTTAATTTTTCCGCATTAGTTTTTATTCTCATTGATTGATTTACTTGTAGGGAATCACATATTTTCCCTAACACAAAACACATATTCTCTCACTTTGTTTCTCATTATACCTTCATAATGGTATCAGAGCTATAAGATCATTTTTTTTCGAGACCCATAGTATCATCTAGCTCGGAAT